ATCTATAGCTTTAAGTGCATATATTAGAAAAAAAGAAAGGTTCAAATCAGTGGTTTAAACTTCCACCTTAAGAAGCTAGAAAAAGGACAAATTTACTCAAAGAATATAGAAGGAAGGAAATAAGAAATAAATCAATAAAACAGAAAACAAGTACCCTACAGGGGGAAAAAAAAAATCAAAGTCAAAAGTTGGTTCTCTGAAAAGACTAACAAAATTTAAAAAATCTCTAACAGTATTAGTCGATATCCTTCCTTTGGAAAGGCAAATAAAAACCACAGTGAGCTATAACCATACAAGCTATTGTAGCTATTACGAAAAAAGACAAATGCTGGTGAGAATGTGGAGAAAAGGGAGCCCTGGTACATGGCTGGTGGGAATGTAAATTGGTGACACAACCAGAGAAAATAGAGGTTCCTCAAAAATTTTCAAATGAAACTACCATATGATCCAGCAATCCCACTCCTGGGATTATAGCTGAAGGATATGAAATATGAAATTGCTATCTTTTTATCACTACTACATTTATTTTTAACTTTCTATTTTGTATTGGGGTATAGCCTATTAACAATGTTGATGAAATCATTATCTTGAAGAGATATTTGCACTCCTGTGTTCACTGCAGCATTATTCACAATAGTGAACACATGGAAACAGCCTAAATGTCCATTCACACACGAATGAATAAAGAAAATGTATATGCATACAGTGGAATATTATTCAACCATAGAGAAAAAGAAAATTCTGCCATTTGCAACAACATAGACTCTGAGGACATTATGCTAAGTGCAGTAACTTAAAGAAAGACAAATACCGTATGATTTCACTTATATGTGGAATCTTTAAACTTTGAATTCACAGAAACATGGTAGAGTGGTGGTTACAAGAGGTTGAAGGGGTGGGGTAAATGAGGTGATACTGGTTTAAGGCTAGAAACTTTCAGTTATAAGATAAGCTTGCATGGAAAATCCCATGCAGAGAAGCCTGGCAGGCTACAATACATGGGGTCACAATAGACTAGGACATGACTTAGTGACTAAAAAACAACAAAGTTCCAGGGATCTAATATACAACCTGGTGACTATAGTTAATAACACTGTACCGCATATTTGATAGTAAAGCTCTAATGTTGTTACCATAACAAGAAAACAGTAATTATGTGAACGATATGTTTGCTAACCAAACATTATGGTAAATAAACATTTTGCAATTTATATGTTTCTCAAACCAACACACTGTACACCTTAAACTTACACAGGGTTATATGTCAATGATAATTCTCTCAAGCTGAAAAAAAAAAATAATCATGCCTTTGAAAGGTTCAAGCCTGGTTGTCAGAGTACCTGGAAGCCAGGATAGCTGAGAGCTGGCATCCTAATGCCCAAAGGGGGTAGGAAAAAGAGAGGAGTCAGGAATAAGCTGATTCCAGTTAAATCAGGAGTCATGGAGAACTCCAACTTTCAGCTCTTCATACAAGCTTAAGACATAATTCAAAGCTTGAAACAGAAATATTATAGAAATAAATACTCAATTTGGAGATATCTCATATAATATACTGTGGTTCATGTGGATAAGTTTGTCGACAATTTCTTGGAATAAAAGATATTCATGGGAGCTTTTCCTTCTTTCTCTTGAGAAACTGTGGCCTTCAAGAAAATGCAAAAACCTCTCTGCTCCCTGACCAAGGGAAGCAGCATGGAAGCCTGCCCCCACCCAGGGTTCTGAGAAAGGGGAGGGGAAGGGAGAAGAGCGAGAACAAGAGCTGAAAAGACTGAAAGCACGAGGCTCGTGCCACACTTGGTTGTGGCCTACAAAGTCAGACAGCCCACAGGTGGTAGAATCCCAAGCCCTGAAATGAACACAAACCTGGTCCAAAACCACCACAGTGCCAAAGGCTCCAGCAGAAGTAAACTTGGAACCACCCCACGGCTCTGCAGGGCCGGACTTGTAGGTCTTCCCACCATGTATTTCAAACAGTAAGTAACAGTGGAAACATGTCTATGTCTGTGAGTATGTTTGAGTTTTATAAATACACTCATTTGTATCTTTTTTTTTAAAGATTCTGAAAATATTTTGTTGTTGCTGTTGTTCAGTCTCTAAGCTGTGACTCTCTGCGACCCCGTGGACTGCAGCCCGCCAGGCTCCTCTGTCCATGGGGTTTCCCAGGCAAGAATACTGGAGTGGGTAGCCATTTCCTCCTGCAGAGGATCCTCCCAACCCAGAGATCAAGCGGGCTGGTTCTTTACCACTAGCGCCACCTGGTGCAGCTTTGAGATTGAGGAATCTGGTAGCCGAACATGTCACAGCATTGTGTATGCTTTGGAAATCAACAGACCAACTCTGGCATAATCAGGTGCCTGGGCCCAAGCTTCACACCTGATGAGGACTGTCTGCCCAAATGGATCACAGTCAGTTTGGGTGCAGCTTTTCAAGAGGCCCAGTCCTTTTCTGAGTAGAGAGCCTGCAAGGGTTCACTCTTGGATGAGTTAATATCACCCTCCAGCACATAAGAAACAATTTTACGGGATTATCCAACAAGTTTTAAGAGTTCCAGAAGAATCGCTGTCTTTCAGAGGTTCGGTCATGTCTGATTCTTTGCAAGGACTGCAGCACGCCAGGATTCCCTGTCCTTCACCATCTCCAGGAGTGTGCTCAAACTCATGTCCATTGAGTTGATGATGCCACCCAACCATCTCATCATCTGTCTTCCCCTTCTCCTGCCTTCAATCTTTCCTAGCATCAGGGTGTTTTCTAATGAGTCACCTCTTCACATCAGTTGGCCAAAGTATTGGAGCATCAGCTACAGCATCAGTCCTTCCAATGAATATTCACAGTTGATTTCCTTTAGGATTGACTGGTTTGATCTCCTTGCTGTCCAAGAGACTCTCCAGAGTCTTCTCCAACACCACAGTTCAAAACGATCAATTCTTTGGCACTCAGCCTTCTTTATGGTCCAGCTCTCACATCCATACATGACTACTGGAAAAACCATAGCTTTGACTAGACAAACCTTTATTGGGAAAGAAATGTCTCTGCTTTTTAATATCCTGTCTAGGTATGTCATAGCTTTTCTTCCAAGGAGCAAACATCTTTTAATCTCAAGGCTGCAGTCACCGTTCACAGTGATTTTGGAGCCCAAGAAAATAAAGTCTGTCACTATTTGCATTGCTTCCCCCATCTATTTGACATGAAGTGATGGGACTGGATGCCATGATCTTGGTTTTTTGAGAATAAAACAGAGAGAACAGAGACGAGCAGTACTAGGAGAGAAAAAAGCCAAAACTTCCCAAAACTGATGCAAGACTTGACTCTTCCAAACGAAGACGCACATTGCATCTTGAGCCAGATAAATAAAAATAAGTCTATATCTCATGATTTCACAGGGAAACTGTAGATTATCAAAGACAAAGATAAACTCTTAAAAGTAACCAGGGAACCAAGGTAGCTTGATAAGCAAGATAACAAAGAAAGGAATCACAGGTAGATTTCTGAGCTGACTGGTCTCCACCGATGCACCCTCAGAGGCTCCCCTCCCTGTGAGCACAAGCTGCTTCTCACATCAAGAGTTGCATCTTCCCTGGAGCTGACCTCTGAGTGCTCTGACCAACTGAATGTGGAATAAATGAATCTGAGACTTCCGAGCCCAGGTCTTCAAGGATCGGACAAATTACACTTTCTTCTTCCGGCAACTCTTGCCCTGGGACGCCATCCCTCAAAACTCAGCCACCAAGCTAGGAGAAGCCCAAGCCATACTGCGCAGCCACCTGAATGAGAAATGAAGGGCCACACTAACAACCCAGGTGAGATTCCAGCACAGTCAGCCATGAGAGTCGTCAGCTTCGACGCACCAGCTTCCCTGAGTCCCCAGATGACTGCAGCCCCAGTCAACATCAAATGGAAAAACCGACCCGGTTTTTATCTGGCGACCTCCAGAATCCTGAGAGTGAGTAAAACAGCTTGAGTTTCAAGTCACTATATTTTAAGGGGGTTTTTAGTATCAACTGATAAGTAAAACATTTCTCACTTGCAGTAAGAGATTTCAGAAGACAAGGGAAAATACCTTGAAAGTGCTGAGGAGAAACGATGTGCAACTTGAAATTCTAAACAAACTTTACTCTCTAGAGGAAAACCAAATACATTTCTAGACAGACAAATAGTGAAAATTCACCTTATAATCTCTCACAGAAAGAAACACTACATACAGAATATACCAATGCTAGAAATAATTGTAAGTGATGAAATTTATAAATATGTTGTAAATCTAAATGAGCACTGACTTAATAAAGGTAAGACATGACTACAATATTCTATAGTATCTGATCTGGTTAACAACCACTAGAATTCGTGGGACTTGACGCTCTGAGTTTCTGCTTAATGAAACACTAGCATAGAGAACATGCCCTGAAGAGTGCACACATATGAAAGCATCCTTCATGCAGTGGTCCCTCTCGGGACACTGAATCTGTAGTTGCTGGAAGGCAGGACCCCTGGATGCACAACCTGGAGGGTCAATCAGTCGCTATCTGTCAATTCTCCTCTCCTTCCCCTCTCAGGCGACTCCTCCCTCACAGGGAAAGGCCTCAGACCCAGCCATCAACAGACAAAGGAGCGACGTCCGGGGGGGAAACAGAGGAGGGCAGTGACGGGGGCCTGGCTCCGGGGGTCACTCGGGGCAGCGCTGGCGGCCTGCCCCCTCCTCTCCTGCTCTGTCGTAATCAAAGATCGGGCCACGGGCATGCAATGTGCATCGTCATTTTTAACATTAAGGACCAAGTTAGCCCCAAAGGCATCTACAGAAGACTTTAATCAAGAAACTGCCATGAACATATGAATTATCCATTTTCTCATTTTCAATTTTCAATCACCGACTTCAAGTTTTCAGTGGTCTCCCAAATTTAAAAAGCAGAAGGAAAGTTCAGGGCTTCTATTTTCAATTAATACAGGACTTGGTTATTTTAGAAAGTGATTAATCATTTTAAAGAAAGCTATTAAGCAATACTTACTTTAACAGCAAATTTCTTTGATGCCATGGTTTACTGGTTCCAGAATAATTACAGACCTTTAACAAAAGAAAAGAGAAAGTTATGAGTAGGTATATTAAAATTTCTTTCTATTTGGATATTATATCAGAGAAAGGTTGGCTAAAGAATCAAATAATACGTATTTTTACAAGATGAACGCCCACTTATAACTGGTCTTAACAAAAATATTATATTGAATTAGCAATTTAAAATCTGCTCACAAAGAAAGGCAGAGGCCCAGATGTATTGTACCAAATGTTTAAAGAATTAATATCAGTCCTTCACAGACCCTTTAAAAGAAGCATAAGAAAAATTCTCAAATCATCCTAAGAGGCTAGTTACATCCTGACACCAATACCAAGGGGCTTCCCAGGTGGCTCAGTGGCAAAGAATCCATCTGCCAATGCAGGAGACGTGGGTTCGATCCCTGGGTTGGGAAGATTCCCTGGAGGAAGGCATGGCAACCCACTCCAGTATTCTTGCTCAGAGAATCCCATGAACAGAGGAGTCCACAGGGTTGCAAAGAGTCAGACACAACTGAAGCAACTTGTTATGCACACACACACCAATACCAAAAAGAAATATCAGAAGAGAGGAAAACTACACACCAGTATTCAACAAAATACTATAAACCAAAGCCAGCAACATATAAAAAGGATTATATATCATGACCACAATACATATATCTCAGGAATATAAGATTGGTCTAACATCTGAAACCAATCTGTATAATGTACTATCATCATCATGGTGCTCAGTCATGACCAACTCTTTGCGACCCTATGGACTATAGCCCACCAGGCTCTTCTGCCCATGGAATTTTCCAGGCAAGAATACTGGAGTGGGTTGCCATTTCCTATTCCAGGGAATCTCCCCAACCCAGGGATGGAACCCACATCTTGCATTGCAGGTGGATCCTTTACCACTATGCCACCCAGGAACCCCAAATGGTTACATTCTTTACTAGATATAAATCTGAAGGAAGAGCATGCAACCTTTACTATATTAATAGAATAAAAGAAAAAGCACACCATTATCTCAAATTTAGAAATAAATAACAAAACCCAACAGTTTTTAGTCAAAAAAATCCACACACTAGGAATATAGAAGGAAGTATTATCAACCTGGTGAAGAACATCTATAAAAAACTCACACCTAGGGAATTCCCTGAAGGCCCAGTAGTCAGACCTCTCTGCTTTCACTGCCGAGGGCTGGGATTCAGTCACTGGTCAAGGAGCTCTGATCCTGCAAGCCATGTGGTGCATCCAAAAGAGAAAAAAAGAAAATCCATTACTAAAAACCCACGATTAAAACCATACTAAATCATGAACAACTAAATGCTTTCTCCTCCTTGAGGAGGAGTGATGTCTGCTCTTGCTACTTCCACACAACATTGTATCAGAGGTACTAGCCAGGGCAATTAGGCAAGAAAAATAAATAAAAGGCATCCAGACTGGGAAGGAAGAGATAAAACTATCTCTGTTCACGAATAACATGTTCTTATATGTAGAAAATCCTAAAGAATTTTTAAAAAAAAAACTACTAGAATTACAAAGCATATGAACTAAGGTTATAAGATGTAAATATATTAAACAATTAACTACACTTCTCTATTTTGGCAATGAATAATCCTGAAAGGAAATTAAGAAAAGAAATATGCTGAAAATAATGTCAGACAGAATACTTAACAAAAAATTTAACAAAAAAACCCAGTAAAATTTATACAACAAAACCCATAAAATATTATTGAAAGAAATGTAAAACTTAAGTAAGTGGACAGATACCCTATATTCATAAATTGGAACATTTAATAATTTTGTTAACATGACCATACATCCCAAATCAATCTATATAACATAATTTCCATCAAAATCTCAGCTGACCTTATAGAAACTGACAATCTCATCCTAAAATTTGTATAAAAATATAAGACCTGTGTATTAGGCAAAATAATCTTTAAGAAGAACAAAATTAAAGAATTTATACTTCCCCATTTGAAAACTTACTACAAAGCAATCAAAACAGTGTGGTACTGTACTAGCATAAAAGTCATATAAATCAATGGAATAAAACTGAAAGTTCAAAAACAGATCCTTACATTTATCTTCAGTTGATTTTTAACCTATGTACCATGACAATTTAATAGGGAAACAGTCCTTACTACAAATGGTTCTGTGACAACTGAGTATCCACATGCAAAAGAACAAGGTTGGACCCCTGTGTTCCACTATATAAAAAATGAACTCTTGGAGAAGGAAATGGCAACCCACTCCAGTATTCTTGCCTAGAGGACAGAGGAGCCTGATGAGCTACAGTCCACGGGGTCGCAAAGAGTCGGACATGACTTAGCGACTAAACAACTCAGACTCTCCAGGTAATTTCATTGTTAGTAACCCGATATCAGAATGTTTTCTATATTACTCTTTTTTCCTTTTGTTCCAGTTGAGACTGAATCTCATCAAATCCCGACATCTCTCCTCGGGAGAGAATGTCATAGGCCAAGGGCGTGGGCAGGGCTTGAGGAGAGAGCAGTTATTAAACAGAACTCTCTCTGTGTTCATTCTTGTTGTATTGAAGTTAAGAAGCAAGATGACTGGCAGTGGGATTCCTTCTCAGGATCACGTTTGCTGCCACATTAGTTAATATCAGAGCACTTTAATCTGAAGGATGATACTGTAACTTGATTGAACTAATTCACTTTTAATTATCGATAGCTGTTTTATTTAATACCCTCCTACATACTGGGGACCACTGTAAACCTCTCAGATGACTTGTTATTTTTGTAGCGTTACGAGATTTATTTACATCCCTATAAAGAGAACTGGATGTTCGCTTGAACTCCGGAGATACACATGTAAAAAAAAAAAAATGAACTCTAAATGGATCAAAGACTTAAACATAAGAGTTAAAACTATAAACTCTTAGAAGAAAACATAGGCATAAGTTTTATGACCTTACACATGTGCATGCTCAGAAACATCCAACTCTTTGCGACTTTATGGACTATAGCCTACCAGGCCCCTCTGTCCATGTAATTTCATAGGTAAGAATACTGGAGTGAGCTGCCATTTCCTCCTGCATGGGGCTTTCACAACCCAGGATTAAACCCCTGTCTCCTGCATCTCCTGCATTGTCAGGCAGGTTCTTTACCACCGCATCACTGATCTTGTGTAAGGCAATAATTTTTTAGATACATACCAGAGGCACAAGTCATGGAAGAAAAAAACCATTAAATCAGATTTCATGAAAATTTAAAACTTGAGTGCTTTAAAGGACACTATCAAGAACTTGAAAAGACAACTCACAGAATGGGAGAGAATATCTGCAAGTCACATCTCAAGTAAAGGACTCCTGTCCCGAACACATGAAGAACACTTAGGACAACAATAAAAAGGTGAATAACCCAATTTTAAAATGGATCAAATATCTGAACAGACATTTCTCCAAAGAAGATATACAAATGGCCTTATAAGCACAAATAATGAGCTCAAAATTACTAGCTATTGAGTAAAAAATCAAAACCACAATGATACACCACTTTTCACCCACTAAGATGGCTAAAACACAAAAAACAAACAATAACAGTGTTGACAAAGACATGGATTGATTAGAACTCTCATAAATAGTTGGTGAGAAATGTAAGATGTTAGAGCCTCTTTGGAAAATAATTTGGCAATACTTCAAAAAGGTAAACATGGAATTGTCATATGATTCAGCACTTCCACTCCTACATATGTACCTAGGAAAATAAAAACATATGTTCACACAAACATTTATACAGGAATGTTCATAGCAGCATTATTCATAATAACCAAAAAAGTGGAAAGAACCCAAATGCCCATCAAATGATGAATGGATAAACATAACACAGTGATTGAGATCTTTCTTGTTTTCTGAGGTAAGCTTATATAGATATATGCTTAACAAAATATGATATATACATACAATGGAATATTATTTGGCAATAAAAAGGAATCAAATTCTTATACCTTTTACTGAGCACAGCCAAGCAACAGCTCTTTTCACCCTGCAGAAGCCTAGAGAATTATTTTCTGGAGAAAGTAAGACAGAGGATCTCTGGTCTGGAAAATACCAGGTACAGCAAATAGTGGGGAGTATCCTACTGAAAAAAATCAGAAATTCATGGGCAGTTCACATGCCCCTTGTGATAGTTAACTGTCAACTTGTTTGGGCTAAGGGATGCCCAGATAACTAACAGACATTATGTCTGTAAGGGTGCTTCTAGAAGAGATTAGCATTTGAATTTATGAACTGAGTAAAGCAGATGACCCTCCCCCAAGTGGGTGGGCATCATTCAGTCCACTGAGGGTCAAAATAGAACAAAAAGAGGAAGAGTGAATTCAAGATCTGTCTGATTTGGGACATCCATCTTCTCCTGCCCTTGGACATCAGCAACCCTGGTTCTTGAGCCTTTGGACTTGGACTGAATCATACCACTAGTTTTTCTGGGTCCCCAGGTTACAAACAGTGTATCTTAGGACTTCTCAGCCTCCAAAATTCCATAAGCCAACTCCTTTAATAAACACATGTATATACACATACATGTGTGTGTGGATTCGTATCTTCTATTGGTTCTGGAGAAGCTTGACTAACACACTCCTCTATCATGCCTTAGTCTCCAAATAGGAGACTGAAACCTCCTCTCTCAGGGAACTGAATCTAAAAGTACTGACATCAGGGGTTCCCCAAGCAAACAGTCAAGACAGATGGTTCTAAAGTGAAGGTCACACCCACAAACTCCACATCTGTGTGCAGAACTAACTTCCATCTCCTAGTGTACCACTCCCAAATACACACACATAAACAACAACAAATCATCTACCATGTAAGGAAAAACTCTATTATGAAAAACAGAAAAAAAATTACTTGGCTGAAACCCCGACTATGCAAGGAGAAAGAAACTTTCACTGATATCAGCAGGATAGAAGATATTACACATCAATTAATTTTTTTTAAAGGAGCATCTGAGAAAGATGAATATCATATTCTAATGCATATAAACGGAATCTAGAAAAAT